AACAAATATATAGCTTTGCGATGTTCAAAGTTAAGCGACGGCGATGGAATGTGTTTTACGTAGAGTACACATGTACCTTTCCCACCCTACTCCCACTACGTCCTTGCCTCTAGACTAATTAATTAATTGAAATTAATTAATTAAACAAACATTAAAGTGTACACCTTAGCGCTATAGGGCCATAGCGTCTTAGTTCCTTAGCGGCAGGCAACCCCCATAACCATCCCAATAGTGCACTCTGCACTAAAAATCACAGCAATAGGATTTACAAAATGGATAAAAATCTTATTTCTCTTACAATTTCAATACATTTGCAAGGAGACAGGTAATGAGAATATAAGGATCATCAAACCGAGGATAATCTTGATGTACTACTAAATTCTCAGAACTGACATTTAAAGTAATGTATGACATTCAATAGGAAGAATTTGTAGTTTGATCATGACCCACAAGTTAATGCCATGTCTGTATGGCTTGTAGTTCTTCTCTAATGATGGCCACATAACATAAACCAGTGTACCAACGGGAAAAACGAGCAATGAGTGGCAAAGAAGCATACGAATGAGGCAGTGGTGACTATGTTTTAAGCTTGAAGAACATCCTGTCATCCAGGGAATCTTCATTAACAACAGTGCTAATACTCGAGCTGGGCTGCCTGGAAGAAATCTAACCAATTAAAACGTAAACTGAGAACAAAGGACTGTTAACTTCAAGTGACGGCAAGAAACGGTCTATTTGACGTGAAAATATAAAAACTATCGACTCCTCTACGTTATATACACTCTCAGAGATTCACCCCCTGACGGCAAATTATCATGATTATAAATCTCGCTTGAAATATTTAGCTTGAAAACTCATTTTGCGACAACTAAACCGAAACCGTTGAAAAGCATACAAAATTTAGGATTGAACCTAGCCAATTAACAAATGGCAAAGTTTCCTGAGAGGTTCGCAACTCCTTGCACTTTGTTGAGTTTTCAATTTTGTTAAGATCTATTGTTCGTATTCTTCAATGTAGTTGGTTTATTTGAGAAAAAGTTCGCTCTCCTTTGTTCTCGAGTAACGTTCTAATTCTGTTTTCCAAGTGGCCCGGTTCGAGCAGTCTCAACGTAATTGAGGACTGCCTTTCTTAAAAAAACAAAACAAAGAGATCCTGAAAAGAAACAGTAACTCTACATGACACTCACTGCTTGGCTGCGAGCAAACTCAATTTCTTTCTCAATGCACAGCATTCTGATATCATGACTTTTCTTGCCCACTTCTTGACCCTGTTAGAAAAGAATCAGAAATTAAGAAATAAACTTTCAGCTAATAAATAAATGAGGAAGGCGCAATGGCCCAATAGTTATAGCAGTGGATTCTGGATCAAACCGTCTGAAATCAAACCCTGGCTGAGATCTTTGCGTTGTGACCTTGACAACACCCCCTTTACCCCGCAAGAGTGCCATTTGGCACACAATATCATAACCTTGTGAATATTTGAGAGATTCCTATGAATTTGTGCCACAAAAATTGTCTTGTGAAGATCTGCTCATTGAAGGCATAAAATTGTGACCCCCTCCTAACTAAGACATGGTTGACCACCCCCAAAAGTTTCCAATTTCATTTTTGAGATGCATATGGAATGCAAGACTTGTTGCACATCAAGCTATATACTAAGACCTGCTAAATAAGCTATAGTTTAGGGGTATACCTATGATATTTGAGAGTTGATACGTGTTGGAATTTTCCAGTTTCACAGTTTAAAGCAATTCCTCTCAAAATGGCGACCTCCTTCATAGCTGCTGATGTCAGTTCTTAAAAAAGCTGATCAGTGGCTTTCAAATGGTATATTGTACACAAGTGCAGAGTCTTTATTTGCTGATTTAGGAAAAACTTCCGTTCACCTTAGGGGGTAAAGGGTTAAATTCTCTCTGTGCCTCTCTGGTAGCATATCAGACTCCAGAAAAAGGAAATTTACCTGGAATACGATGATGTCATAGGCCAGGTATCGCGGATGTACTTTATCATTTTCCTTGTCAAGAACCATTTCCTTCAAAATAAACAACAACCAAAAAGAAATATTAACTTATACCAGTAAAATAATAATGCCTAATCATCAAATTTATAAAGAGTGCAAGCAGTTTCCACTTTTCTAAAGTTACACCGTGTAACATGCAGGGAGGACGTGCAAAGGCCTTATGCTTAGTGCATTGGATTCAGAGTCAAGTGGCCCAGGTTGGTCAGGATTAATTGTGTTATTATCTGTTATTGCATTCTCAGGCAACACACTTTATTCTCCAGTCACTCCCCCCCTGACAATTTCATACTGGGGGATAACTCTGCTGCAGAACCCCTTCCCCATCCAGGGGGTAGTAGAAATGTTCCTTCTTGAATGATGCAGTCGTTATCATGCCTGTGGCTACCTTATCGCACAAATCAAGCTCATTACTACTCTTTATTATTTTTTAATTAGATGTAGACTTTCTAAAAGTCCTTTCCAATAATTCTTCCCTGCCCTGTTGGTTTCACCTTACGTTGCTCGCGTTCACGACTTCGTCACTCGAAGATTACTCTCTTGCTTCACTCAAGGGAGATGAATAAGTGAAGGATTAAGCAATGGCTGACTTGCGGTAAGTCTAAATGGGATGCTAATAATGTTTACATTCTCTTACCCCGTCAATCAAAGTGTCATAGACGTGCTCTTTAAGGATTTTACGCTGCGGAAAGTGAAACTGTGGTGCAGCAAACACATTGTTGTCTCTGTCAATTAGGTATACTTCTTGTTCCCTTAAAATAAGCATCATATATCTGTAAAGAAAAGAAAAAACACAGTGAACTCTTTGAGGTGGAGTAGAGAGAGGTCTGCCTTTAACAATGTTCTTAGGGCAACTTTTTCAGTTATAGCAAGAGATTTTCTTTCAACATCAGTGGCAGATCTAGGGGAGGGGCCTGGGGGGCTCAGTCCCCCCCCCTCCCCACCTTATTTTGGATAAAAAAAAAAGAAATCACAGAAGGAAGGCAAGCGAAACAAAACTGCCCCCCCCCCCCTTAGCTCAAGGTCTGGATCCGCCACTGAACATCATTTTATCCTCTCTTGCACACATCAAGTAGCCAAGCAAAAAAAAAATTTAACAAGTTCTTCCACAAGGGGACATCCTGGGGGGAGTCCCATATGAAAAGGTTGAGGGTGCTCGTCATCTCGCTTAGGGGTATAAATCATGGTGTTCATGACAAAACGCCACTATTTTTAGCTACCAAAGTATCTTTCGGGGTGCACTCGAAGAAATTCAATTATAATTTTAAAAAATGCTCTAATTTCGGTTTTTAGGCTTGATTTCAACCAGTCTCTTGAGTCCAGTCTACTAGAGTGGGCTCCTTTCCTCAACTTTGCTCAACATCAGCTGGTAATTGAGCCTATTCCATTTGAAATGGTGTCTTTTAGGGGTCAAATAAAAATCGAGCCACACCCAGATTGGCTTCCTTTACGGGTTTAATTCAAATTTTCTGATGAGCATCCCTGACCTTTTCTTATGGGAATCCCTCCCCTGGGGGAACATTACACGGTGATTAACCAACAAATTCTCAAAACTGACAGTAAAAAAGTCTATTACACTAAATAAGAAGAATCTAGATTTCAATCAGTAAATAGACCAACCTGACACCATCTGCCTTCCAGCTTACTCTGTAAGGTTTCTCGTGAAGCAGTTTAATGTTCTGGACATCCATTGAGACTGGCTGGCTTCCTGGAAACCCACCACTGCCAGATAAAAATGAAAACATTTGAGCAGTACATTCATGTGGCAATGTTTATTATATAAAGACATAATAATTTATTGATCATCGCAGTGATGCACACAACTAAGGTAGTTGTGAAATTAAAGCCTGAAAAAAATGCAGGCCTGAATGGGATCCATAACCTCTGCGATACCGGTGCGGTGTTCTACCAACTGAGCTATCAAGCAAACTGGGGGCTGGTCATGTTGTGAGTTCGTAATATACCCATAGATGCTGATGAATGCAATTGAATATATTAAAAACGATATATTTGAACTGTGGAGAAAGATATGAAGACATGATTGATCATCACAGTGATACACACAACTAAGGCAGTTGTGAAATTAAATCCTGTTCCCGTTTTTTTCAGACTTAAATTTCACAACTGCTTTACTTGTGTGTATCACTGCAGTGATCAATCATGTCTTCATATCTGTTTATTATGCTGTACAAGGTGGTTCTAACGTTTACATCTGTGGATGAAACCCTAGTCATTGACCATTCAAATGAAAGCTATCAAGCAGTGCTTTCATGTGGTACATGTTTATTACCCTGTACAAGGTGGTTCTAACTTTTACCTCTGTGGATGAAGCCCTAGTGTGTGACCATTTAAATGAAAGCTACTGAGCAGTCCTTTCATGTGGTACTGTTTATGATGGACAAAGTGGTTCTAACTTTTACATGTGTGGATGAAACCCTAGTGTGTGACCATTCAATTGAAAGCTTGTGAGCAGTTCTTTCACGTGGTACTGTTTATTACACTTAGGTTGTTCTAATTTTCAAGTCTGAAGGACATAGTGACTAACTTCTACTTTTTAAGTGGGTGTTGTCTCAGTGCTAATTGACTTTAAACACAGTTTCAGGGAATTTTAAATAATTTAAAATAAAAATAGTACCTTTGGCAGTTTGTTTTTATAATGAACCTTAAAAAAATGCAGACTAAGACAAAAATCTAACCACTTTGTTTTACTACAGTAACTGTTATATAACTCTTACAACAAAGGTTACCTTTCCCATGAGCACATTTTTTCACATATTTCTTGGATTTCTTCTCTCTTTGGTGAATGTACAACTTCTATGCCTTCTACTTCATCCATGAACTTTGCTTCCTGCAGCAAGATGAACATGACATGCACAATAATAAGTGGGTTGTCGAGTTCAAAATAAAAGTTAGGGAAAGACCCACACAGGATCCATACATTGAGTAGATAAGTGGACATTTACAAAGATTTTCTGAGAAAATATTTAGTTTACTGGCCAGAACTGTACTGCTGTTTAAAATCCCATTGTTAAGATCTGTAAGCTCTTATTGAAGGGTTTAAGTTTGAGACCGACCAGTTAATGTTATAATGTGCGCAACCCAAGTGGCTCATAAGGCCGTTGCTGATCTCCATTTAATTCAATCTGTAGCATGAAGTGACCAGGAGTATTTCTACTCCCCACAGGATGGGATGCTAGTCCATCGCAGGTTTACCCCCAGCATATCAGATTCGCCAGTACCCATTTATACACCTGGGTCGAGAGAGACACTGTGAGAGTAAAGTGTCTTGCCCAAGAACACAGCAGAATGTCCCCGGCCAGGGCTCAAACCCACACCGCTCAATCCAGAGACGAGTGTGCTAACCACGAGGCCACCGTGCCTCCCTTAAGTAAATAAGTTGGCATTAATAAAAACAGATTTATTATATGGCTTGTGTCTGTAGCCAATATAACATGTGCTCTGATTGGCTAATTCTAGGGCATTATTCTCCTGTAATGCCCACAGGCCAATTGTGGGCCTGCAAAACCAAAGCAAAGCAAACAGACATATAACAAACAACTTATTAACCTCAAATGTTTGGTCTCTACTTGAAAATCTCAAACCTCGGCGTTGCCGTATACAGCAAGGTCTTGATTTGAGATTTTTCCATAAAGACCTCACTCTCAGTTAATAAGTAGTTATTACTGAGATAATTTTCAGTTTTCTGGCCAGAACTGTACTTCAGTCTGTTTTAAAATCCCTTTGTTAAAATCTGTAAGCTCATATTGAACAATTTTATCAAGTCAAAGGTCTCCAGGACCAGCATTTCCTCTTGCCAAGGACCTAACTCTCAAAGAGGGATGGCCAACACCAGCCGTGAGGATAAGCATGACACAAACCTTTAATCTAGGGTCCCACTTGGGTCTTTTCCTACTTGGGCGACTTGCTGCTTCCAAAGCACCACCATTCTGTTCTTCATTGTCACTGTGCCCTTCCTCCTCCTCAAGGCACCAGTCTGGTAACTCAGGAGCAGCCATCGCTTCCTTTGGGTCTCCATAACGATTGGCAAGGTCTTGTAAATAGTGTGCTTTGTAGATACCAGGAGGGCGACACTGCAAAACAATACAAACATTACAAGTCAATATCAAATTTACACTAAATAACAATAATAAATACAAAAAAATAAGAACAACATAATAGCAAACAACTGAAACAAATAATTCAAATTGAACATAACATTATTAAGAATACCAACTGGCCGGAGGCAAAACAGTTGGCTTTTTACAAGCGTGGCCAAGGATTTGAACTTAGGGCTACCGAGAAACAAATCCAGGTAGTGCTCATAGTGGGACTCAAACCCACGACTGCTGGATTGTAAGTCCATCAAGCTGACCACTCGGCCACCCTGAGTGGTCAGCGTGTTGTATACTTTATTTATACTGCAAAAAATAGATAACCTGAATTTAAATATAAAGACAGCTGGTATAAACCTATGTGCAGTTGACAAAAATATTTCAAATGGTGTTAGCAATAAAAAATATTAAAAACTAAAATGGAAAATTTGGTTACAACAATAACAACCATTAACTAAACACTACATTTATGATGTATTCTGTCTTGCTCTAACAAATACTGGAATGTTTTTCACTTAAAAGTTCTTAAATTTAAGTTTTTAGCCCGTAATTCTTTAGGTAAAAGGGAACATGTGCTTCTTAGAATAAGTTGCATTTTTTTACCTCCAGTTTTATTTCAAATTCAAATTAACACAAACCTGTGCAAAACAATGTACTGCTGCCTCAACACTGAGCAAAGACAAGAAAACAAAAAACAATAATTATTAATCTTAAAAAGAAATGCAAAAGTACCATCCTTTTCTACTCTAACAGGCAGTGAATGGTAAATGTGAGATTTTGAGAGAAGGCAAGACTAGCTCTTTTCTTTGCAAACCCAAGATGTGTTAACTGCAAGCCCAAGATGATCAGGTTCAAGACAAACAGACATCAATATAATAATTTTATTAAAAAAAATTCATTTGGTAATTCAAGACTTTCTTAGCCTTTTAAAAAATCGAGACCGCAAGACACACATAACCACTCAAAAATAAGTTTAAGTAAACTTCAATGAAAATTTTGCAAGATCAATTTTTTTTTGAAGGACCATTTGCCACTCCTACTCCTTGCAAATGGCAAGTGGAAGTTGTGAAGAATGTGAAGAGTCGGCAGGGCAGAAGTATTTTGAAAACAGCACAGACTGTGTTACATTTGATCTTGATTTGCACTAAAAGACCCATTCAGTGATGCTTGTACAGTGACAATTTACATTAGAAATCTGAACTGATATAATCATTATAATATTACAACAAAAATCACCAAACTGTGAAATGAGTTCAAATTTGTGTACATCAACCACTTCCACTTTGACTTGCCCACATTCATTTGTGTTGTTGTGAGTTGCAAGAAAGGGAAAGAAATGGATAAATGTGTTAAAATTAATTATTTTTGTTTAGTTTTAACACATTTATCTGCTTCTTTCTCTTTCCCCACCTTTAGTTTGAACTTCCCCTACAGTCAACTCACAACGACATGAAAAAAGGTGGGCAGGTCAGCGAAAGAAAGTGGAAGTGTTTGATGTACAAAAATTTGGGCTCATTCCACAGTTTGGTGTCAGATTTTCGTAGTGAAAGTAAAATGCTTGTCAATGAGCTGTTTTGCCTGATTGCTCAAGATACAATGATTTCATAACACTGTCCTCAAACAAACGCTTACCTCCAATCATCCCTTTCTACGAGGTAAGCGATGATTAAAAAGCCTGTTCTGTTGAAACCATGAGTACAGTGAACACCTATAGACATAGAAAAAAGCACTCTTTTTGTTTCAAGAAATACAAAATAAAAATCCCACTCAATAAATGCCAACAATGTTTTGTCACTAAGGGTAATTGTGATTGTGGGGTTTATTTACAGGATGGTATACCTGTTGGCATGTGTCTGTGTTATGAACAAGCTCAAATAAAGGAGACTTAAATAGGTCAAACTATTTCTTCTAACATCTACAATTTAGTTGATGAAACCTTTGTGTGTGACCATTCAATTGAAAGATGTTGAGCAGTACTTTCATGTGGTACTGTTCATTATGCTATACAAGTTCTAACTGTCAAGTCTGTGGATGAAACCTTAGTGTGTCACCATTCAAATGAAAGCTATTGAGCAGTACTTTCATGTATTACTGTTTATTATGTTGTTCAAGGTGGTTCTAATGTTTAAGTCTGTGGATGAAACCCTAGTGTGTGACCATTCAATTGAGAGCTATTGAGCAGCACTTTCAAGTAGTAAGTCTCGTAATTATGTTGTAAAAGGTGTATTAGGTTTGACTTAATGGTCCCATTATTATTTGCATCTAGCTTGGCACCTACGTGAATGCTATCGAGCAACTGGTAGATGCACATTCTTGGGTGTGGTTTGTTAAGTCAAAGAAAAAGGCAGGTCAAGTGAATGGCTTAAAGAAAAATCCAGAACCACAGTAGAAGAAGAAACTATCAATTACTACATGAACTAACTGTAGATCTACAAACCTATCAACTCTCCTGGGTTTTGGCTGAAGTAACGGTCGCACATTCTGATAAAAAGATCAACTTGCTCTCTTGAGGGTGCTTCTCCATGCCTTTCCAAGAGATCAGAAAAAAACAAATTTAATGTTAAGTGATCATGATTGGAGTTAACCATTCAAACTGTTCCAGAAAATATCTACAACCCCATCCCCGCCTCGTTTGGAACTTCCTGAGGGGGATGAGGGGTTCTCCAAGACCAAAACATTTCAAAAGGTGAATGAAGCTTAATTGGAAATATTTCTAGAGGGGTAGGGTGTGACTTAGAAAAAATTCCTTCCATGCAGGAGGTATGGATATTTTCTGTAACTACAAAACCAATGAATAATTCATTCTCTGAATCGGTAATTATTATTGATTGATTCACCAGTGATGGTTCCAGAGTTGTTCATTTGCTCCACAAATGGCGTGGAGTTCATGGGTGCTTACCATTTTTCAGTGAGAATAAAGCAGTTGGGATGGCCGTTCAATGATAGCAAGGGTTTTTTCAAAATCAGCAAATCAACAGAACGAGATGGCGCTTACCATTTATAATTTGATTTGCCATAATAATTATTGTTTTAGGCTAATGAGAGACTGGAAACTGGAAAATTTAGCAAATGGTAAAGATATTTCCACCGGTCCATTCTGAACGGAAAAAGAGGACTACCTCTGGAGGTAGTCTAGAATTTCCAAACCGATATCGCAGAAAATTTCTGTTCCATTTAACTTACAACCAAAATTTTCAGAGTTTTTGGCTAAATGGTAAGCACCCCATGTGTCCTTTCCTGCTCTAAATTATGGAGCGGGACCAATGTGCCTTCCTTTTTTCAATAACAAGAGGAAGGAGAGGGACAAGTTCCTCAGTTACATCTACTACATACACAAAAAATTATACACAATGCCAGTATTGTTTACAAACCCCTTGCACTGCATCTTGACATGACGGATTCCCGCCTTTTCCACCTCGTCTTTGTCGTAAAAGCGATCTGTGTTTGTTAAGTCTACGATCAAGCGTAATCTTACCTGAAAAATTTAAATTCAAACAAATGAATGCAAGTCATTTTACTGAATAGTTTGCCTTAGGTTTCCTGGAGTTGGAAAAATTAGACTATTCTTCACCTGAACACTCAATTGCAAAGTAAACAGTACCATAAGATCTTATTCAGTCTCCATAACATCAAGAGCAGAGGTTTCATGAAGGGCCAGGCACTGAGCAAATTGACCAGCTGTGAGGATAATTTTGCCATCCAGAGGAAGGTTTTTCTTATAATAAAAAATGTTTAGTTAAAAACGTTTTGCTTGCTGGTGAAACCCAGTTGCCCTCTTGCTGAAAACATTAATGAAACCCCTAATCAAGAGACCAGGATTACTTCTACTCCCCCTGGATGGGACACAGGTACAAACCAAGGACACTCTCCTACCAATTAGCCAGGTGGCCATAACACTTTGCTGAGGATTGGTACAACCTTAACCCTTAATCTTACCACCAGCCCTAGCCCTAAACCCGACCACTACAAAATGCCCTTAACCCCTAACTTGAACCCTCCCACTACTGCTAGCCCTAGCCCTTGCCCTAAACCATGTTATTAATGCCAATCCTACAAAATACCTCTAACCCTGAACTTTAACTTTACCACTACCAATAGCCATAGCCTGCTATCAATCGTAGCCCTAACACTAAAACTCATGCACAGTGGCCTAATCATTAGTGCACTGGTCTCCTGATCAAGGAGTCAAGGTCTCCTGATCAAGATCATTGCATTGTGTTCTAGGGAAAGACACTTTACCCTGAGTTAGTACTTGGGGATTGTTGGGGCAACCTGACAGATTGCTGATCCCCTGTGGGAAAAGAAGCAATTATATTTCTTGCCACCGATCATCCTAAAGAAACTGGAGTAAAGTGGCAAGAGTGGAGAGCCAGTCGGGATTAAGCATCAACTTAAGCCCTCAACTGTCTCATCCATCTCTCTCACTTAAAACATAGGACACTCTAACCTTTAATGACTGAAGGTATGCAAACAGCATAGGCAGTTGAAATCGGTTTGCCTCAGGGATTTCGTCATCATAACGGGGTCCTAATGGTGTCTTGAATGCAAGAAATTTGTCTGAAAGAAATGTTCAAAAAGTGTTTGACATTAATCATAATTTTCTCAGGTTGATCGGTCAGAATATATCTCATAATAATCATGAGGTTCCAGCAAAATTGCCCACAACCTGTAAATAACAACCACCAAGTAACAGCCAAAATACTACAATGATGTCACCCATTCCCCCCCCCCCNCCCCAAAAAAAACTGTCAGTTAATCAGTACCTCTATTTATGATATAAACCCTAACAAAATACCGAACCATTTCACTTCGCCAGGCAAGGTGTGATAACAACAATGATCTTTTCACTTATGAAAGTGACACTGTGTTGTTCAAGTAAAATAAACTATGTCTATGTCTAAGGTAACATGTTATTTACACGTGTGAAGATATCAAGTTTTCGTGCAAAAGCTCACCAACATTGCAAGGTTGCTTAGAGAGACAAAATTTTTCATAAGTGAAAAGATCATTGTTGCTATGGTTACCTAATTAATTGCACCTTTACTGGCAAAAGTGAAATGGTTTGGTGTTTCATTGGTGTTTATATTATAAATAGAACATTACGAGGCCGCTTGGAGATAGGAAATTTCTCTTATTGGAAAATATTTCACTCATTCGCAGCACTTACTTGTGAAATATTTTAGAAAACTCGCAGAGAAATTTCGTAGCTCTATGTATTCTGTATTGTTTATGTGTCAATACAAATCCTAGTGCATCATTCTCTAATTAGGGACACAGGAACAAAAGGAGAATAAAATTATCATAAATCAAAACTATATTGCATTTTAAAGTATACTTTTATTGCATTGTATTTTGTTGCATTTTACTAACTGCTTTTGAGGATCTCACTTCTATTTGTGAATGGTTTGATGAAGAGGGGGAAATGAAAAACTTGGATTCCTTGCATGCACCAGACAAAAATAACGTAGAATGATAAAAACAAAAGACAACGCATAGCAATTATAATGCCGCATCAAAATATAATGACAGCACTTGATAGTCAACCTGAGTGATTTTACTTACACCACGAAATAGTTAGCCGCCACACAATAAGATAATGTTAGAGCTAATAATTCTATTGTTTTCTTTCGATTCGTTTTGATTAAGCTTATTTCACACTAGTCACTTATTTCACAGCTTAGATTCACTCTACTCGAAAGAGGCAAGATTAATGTTAAAGAACATCACAAGAAGTGTGCAAATTTCACAAAGCATTGTTATCATTAAAATTAATATAGATGAAGTGCATTGTTCCTCTTTCTTCCTGTGATCTTCTTTATTAAATACCCACTGATTCCAATTTATTGACATTTAAAACAGAGAACGCGCAATAACAATACTCTTCAAAACAGTTTTTTGTGTACAGTATTCTTTAACAAACCTGCGATTACTTGACTTTTCCTGGGGCAGTTCAGCCATCGTGGTGGTACAGACATTATTTCAACTCTTCCTTTACAGTTTTCCGCGCTTTTCAACGAGTTTTCACAAAATCATTGCTTAAATGAAGTCATTTTCCGGCGGACTTTCCCAGCTTCCTTCTTCGGCCTATTTTCGGAAGCCATGTTTTATCGCCTCGCTGTGATGCAGCTATACTAGTTACCATTCCCCTCACGTCGAAACGTTGCCGGACGGTCCGATCCGGAAGCGATCGCTGAGCACAATATAACAAATGTTCTGTTCTGCCCCTATTTTTTATGCCTGGTTCTTGAATGGTAGCCCCAGCGCAGCGTGTGGGAAGCGGGGAGGTAGGTGCCGTGCCAATTAATCGGGGCATGGTTTTGAGCTAGCCAGCTGTGTTGGTGTTTACAGGCCATAGATTTTAATAATTTTTGTTTGAAAGAGGATCCCAGGTTGAAAAAAATTCCAAAATGATGGGGTAGGTTTATGACATGTTAAGTCACTCTGATTGGCCATTACTCAAGCACAAAAGTTCTACACCAGGAAAGAACCTGAGCTGCAGACACCCCCCGGCCTCTCTCTCTAGCCTGCACAGTAAGCATATCCATACAAAAGAAGTGCTTTTTGCACATTTTGGCCATAATGTACATGCAAAGATCTGCTCAAGTCAAGTCATAAAAAATTATTTCAGAATGCGGAAAAAGCTCTTTATTCATATAGGAAAGCTCACAATGCAGGTTGCCCTCTTCCATCAAAGACAAATTGATTACGAAAAGGCCAACTATTTCCTGAGAATTTTGCCTGCAACAATAAAGTCATCACAGATTCAGTCTTGTTCCTTGTGGTCCACTTGTGGGTAATTTCATATGCATCTTGGTTTTTTCCCTTCAACAGCCTTTTTCAGGTATTTAGATCCATGGGGAACAGGGTAAAAATGGGAGGGTTGTGAAAATCAGTGGAGGTCGAGTCCAAATACTTCACATCTGTTTCCTTCAGATATGTAATAATGTTTCCAAAAGGTCTAGATAACAACAGACACATAAAGATTTTAAGGAAAACGACCAATTTTTTAAGTTTACAAGACATCTTTCGACAGAACTTCTGTCATCTTCAGTTGAATGATTACAAAGCAAGTTGAATAATAAGTAGACAAAAATGCTAATTAAGACAAATAGTAACAAAAAAACATGAATCAGCAATTACACCATGTAAATCTAAAATTATCCTTTTAATTTACACCTTTTCACGTTGTTGTTACTATTTGTCTTAATTAGCATTTTTGTCTACTTATTATTCAACTTGCTTTGTAATCATTTCACTGAAGATGACAGAAGTTCTGTCAAAACATCTTGCAAACTTAAAAAATTGGTCGTTTTCCTTAAAATCTTTATATGTAATAATCTAATGAAATGCTATGTATGATAACTGCTCTTTAATATCATTTAATTCCTTTCCTAGAATAATATTGTTCTACAGTTCATCACAGCAGAAAATTTTTATTATAGCTAGTAGTTCATTCCTGTTTATTTTTAAAGCCAGTCTCCTCTTCCTTGCATTATAACATTTACAACAGACCTGTTTAACCACTCTATTTAGTACACTTGCTTTTTTATATCATTTATAATTTCCTTAGCCTGCGAACGCAGATGTATTTCCGGCTGTCACTTGGTTCTGCCGAAAAATAACGTCTGCGAACCCGAGCCAGGAAACAATTTCTGTGACNGCGGAACCAAGTGACAGCCGGAAATATATCTGCGTTCCCAGGCTATAATTTCCTAACCAGTCACAAAATATTCCAATTTTCCTATTATTACTTGTGTCGTAAATACATTGCAATACTTAAGTCCTCAGTCTAAAGAGGGTAGCAAAGGGGTGGCGCTTGGGGGTCAAGATCCCACTTCATGTATAAAATTGAACAAAATTAGAGTATCTTGTATACTTGTATATAGCTCAAAAAATTTAGTCATCATGCCTGGTTTCAAACTAAATAGTTATAGCTGCCATGCTTTCTGTTGCTGCACCGTTGCTTTGGAACAGTCTTCCACAACATGTTAGGGATGCAGAATCGCTGGACATATTTAAAAGAGAGCTGAAAACAGTTTTTTTTTAAGCGTGCCTTTTTAAATTGAAAACCTTATTGTAGTTAGTTATTTTAATTTATCTCCTAGCTTTTTACTTCTTTTCGTAATATGAATTTTTAACCTTGTAAATAGCGTCTTTGGACCCTTGAGAAAGCGCTTTAGAAATGTTATTATTATTATTTATTATTACTTATTAACAATAGATCTATTCACAAATCATGCTTGTCATTTCATTACTTTACATCCCTCAGACAATAATTTTTGCCATCATCATGCATCATGCATACACCCTTTGCTACCCTCCTGTTGCTCTGAATAAATATTTGAAGTCCAATACCAACATCCCTGATAAATAATAATAACAACCTCTCCTTCTGTCACCTCACCATGGGCTTCATACTGTGCCTTCAGTTGATAATATCCATATCCTATCAAAGGAAAGTTGCTGGAAATTCTACGAAATTCTTGCCCTAAAAAGTGGGGTAGGGCTCGCAAAATGTGCCGTCCAGTTATCTGGGACAAGCAAATTTTCCTGTTGGGAGGGATATAGATATTTTCTGGAAAAAAATATTCAGATTAACTCCACTATAAAGTTTTGAACTAAAAGTATAACCCAGCTTGGTTATAGAAATTTCATAAAAGTACTTGGCACACTAAACAGCTGCATTCACAACTAACTTTCCTTTCTGCTGAGCACTGATCATCCAGCCCTTTACCACTGGGACCAAAAGACCTCCAAGTAATATCTGCACTGGATGATAAATAAGCAGCGGGATGGAAATAAGCGAGAGATATTTGTACCCTGAAAATACAATCTTGAGCATGGGAATTCCTAATGTGAGAGATTTGTGTGTTGAACAGAACATGATTGCCACTGTATCTGCTGGCATGAACGTCGAATCTTTCATGGTTGCTAGGGAGAATGTAAGCATTAGTAAACAACATTGTAAACAAATTATAAACACTGCTACTGCCACAAGGCCAGACGAATCAATCTCAGCACTTTTGTGTGAAAAAGTGTCACAGAATGTTGTATAGATTATTAGAAGTAGCACACAGCTGCTGATGGTACCAAATGGTGGCTTGTTTTGTTCCATCCAGTCTTTTATATACCTTCTTAGGAACTGACCGACTAAGAGCGGGACAACTACAGTCATTGACAACTGACTCACGATGGACAGGAAAGGAACCGGTGATGAGGAGCCAAGGAACACAAGTAGCAAAAATGGAGTGACAAATATTCCCAGGAAACTGCCGAACGCCGAGTTAAAGATTGCTGCGGCTTCGTTACCCCCGACAGCTTTCGTTAATATCACAGCAGATGACACCGGCGGCGGCATACAGCCCACAACAAGAAGGCCTTTAAGAAGCCATTCGTTCAAGGTAGTAAGCTCCAGCAGCTTCACTAACAACGACATCAATCCCGGTACAAAGGCCAGAGTAAAGCTTTGAACGAAGACGTGTAGTCGAACATTACTAAGTGCGTTTTTCAGCTCCTCCGACTTCAACGAGAGTCCACTGTTGAAAAAGATGGCTGAGACGGCAACATATTTTACAGTGACTTCTGGCTTAAGAACACCGCCTTTTGCCCCGATGAAAGGTGCAAGCTTGGCTAAGCAGATCACCACAACGATTCCGATTAAAAACCAGTTTTTCTGGAGCTTTGCGAGCATCTTTTTTCAATTTAACTTTTTCCATCATCCGCCATTTTGTACATCAAGAGGCAACTGCCACGTGAAGGATAGGTTATCTCGTCATGTAAAATACCACAAAATATCCCGAGAAATAACAACAAAACGGCTGTAGATATGATGTACATGAATAGGAAAGATTCAAAACTGAGTGTATCTGAGAAGTTGTTTTGCCTTGGCTAGACTTGATGTAGCCACATCTGGCCATGTGTTAGATATGGGCATGACGAATTAGGCAGAGAGATAAGGGGACAAAAATGCGATTGCAACAGGATCGGATTTTAGCGACTGAGAGATTCTGTGAAGTCTTCTCTCTCTCCTGCTTAACCCAGTGGCAGTGGTAAGAGAAACATTGCTCGTCACTCTGGAAGAGGAAGGAAACAGAAGAACTCATTTTCTCAAACAGTACTTTTTCATTTTATTTATCATGATGCCGAAACGTCATGTTACGGTGTTAAGTTTTCTTTAAAGTGTTTCTCTATATCTTCTTTATCTTATGTAATTCCTTTTATATGTACTTCATTGGCCTTTCATTTTAGACTGTTCACAGCCTCCCTCCCCCTAACCAGTCAATTCTATCCGCGCGTTCAACGTTCGAATAAAAATAGGAGAAAATAGAGGGCTGTGAACAGTCTACCTTCATTTCGCTAGAACGCAAAACTTCGCCCAGTGAAAGTCAGTACAGTTCACTGCGCTGAAAAAAACTCACAACCACTTTGCAAACTAATTAAAGATTAGCAAAAGTTTACCAAGCTTGCAGCTACCAAAATCTGGTAATTCAAAATTAAAGCAAAATGGGAAAAACGTCAGTCCTAAAATATCTGCGTAATTGTTAGAAACAATTAAACTCTTCATCACCTCGTGATCACTTGCCATGCTACAGTGCATCGACACATGAAGACCGCGGGCGGGTGCTTGCCATTATGCCAAAGATTCCGGAAACTTCGGTCGGAAGTCAAATGGAAAGGTCCGTTTCGGTTCCTTCCGACCGGAATATTCGGGATCACTTCTAGAGGTTGTCCACTTATTTCTGTCGAACCGGTCAGCCCGAAATTTGCCGTTCCATTTTTGCAGATTTTTGACAAACCTACTTCTCCTCACTTATGTTGGGAATTTGGAAAAGAAATAAAAAAAAATGGTAAGAGCCATTCCTCTTGGCCCGGTTTGATCGGAAAATGTCGTTCCATTTTCCTCGGTTATTCCCACTGGTCTCTGACCGGTCGGTTTGGCTTGCATAATGAAAGCACCCCGCATGTAAGAGGGTCTGAATGGGTCTGAATGGGTCTGAATAAATACCATATTCGGGCCCATTTTTGGATTTTTTGGCGGAGAATCTTTCGGGGCTTCTGGCTCGAGGCTCGGGCTCGCAGACTCGCAAAAGAGCCTCCCCCAATTGTAACCGATTTTTCCAGGGAAGTTTCCTGTTTAAAAAAAAAATGATGTTCCATTAGACCCTGAAAGCCCTTGGTTTCCGTTCATGTGTTGTTTTCCCCTTGACGAGATTCTACTAACTGGAGAAAAGAGGAAATGTTGGAAATGGCAAGAAAATTTATGCTGTTTCTTCCTTTGTAGGTAGTCTATAATTTCTGTTTAATCTGACTTTCAAGGTCTTTGAACCGAATTTCCGGATTTTTCTTGTCTGCCTAGCACCCATGCACCCATGGAAGCCACACGAGCCACGTTTCATTTTTTTCCCGTCACTCCTTGCAAGCTCAGTTCAATCATGGCGACTTTCAAAATTCTCAGCTTGTGTATAGTAACTACTTTATTTACTCCTTTTCTCACTCATGCGGCGAATTATAAAGATGGAGATAAGGTAGGAAAATCATCTAAAGTTTTCTTTTTGTCTAACAACGATAATTTATAGCAATCTGCCCATTTGCAGGTACCATTGTATGTCAACAAAGTTGGACCTTACTTCAACCCACAAGAAACCTACCATTATTACTCTTTACCAGTGTGTCGACCCGATAAGGTAAATATATTTGATCACGATCTATAGCAAGGGTTATTGCACATCAGGGGAAAAGAACTGCTTGACTTCTTTTCGCTAGATATCTTTTAAATGCCCTCCTGCGATCGGGATGATTCATGTAAATTGATGCGCTGCAATGTCGACCGAGGTAGCTCAGTTTTAGGCCTAAATTTAATATAACAAGTGTGATCGATTGTTTTTATTTATAAACAATTATTTCAAATTCGTTTTTTTAGGTGGAACATCGCAGTTTAACACTGGGAGAAGTCCTGGATGGGGACAGAATGGCAGTTGCAATGCACGAAATCAATTTTAAACGTAAGCTTAACTTATGTATTTAATGAGCTTAATTACGTATGCTTTCCATCTTCAAGTCCAATTTCAATTTAAGGCTTATAAATAATTTTACGTCTATACTGCGAAAGCCTATCTACGATCGTGAGGTCTTCGTTTCAAGGCCCAACTGGTTAAAAAGGCACTGTTATGTTGAATTTTGTAAAGTTCAATTTTGTTTTGATGAAACCATCTTAGTGAAATTTTTCCGTCGATATCTTTCATTGTTTGTTTGTTTTCTGGATCTGCTCCATACTGCAAATGTTAAAATTTTAGACCCGTTTAATTTGTTATCACTGGGCCTGATTGTCTACTTAAAGCAATAAGAATGAGCTTGTTTGTAAGAAAACTTGATATTGTACTGTGTAATAAGCCTAATATTTTTTTTTATTTCAAGTATCAGTGGAAGTCTTTCTAAACATAGTTTTGTTTTTGTTTTCTAGAACCTGTTGATAACAAAGCCTTATGTAACGTGGAACTTCAGACGAAAGACATTGATCAGCTACGAGAAGCTATTGAAGATCTGTATTACTTTGAATTTGTTTTAGGTATGCTAAATGAAAAGCAAATCATTTCTTACATGATCTCAGGGTAGCTGGAGGTTTTGCACCCAAGTGAGTTCACTCCCACCAAGTTCGTACCCACATTGACTCAACTAGCAATCAAGTCCTTAAAATTTATCTTTCTCTTGCTGAGCAAAACAGACAACATTGTGGGCATAATGAAACAAAATCACACAAAACGTGTTGATTTCTTGTTATTTAATGCACTGAAGGTGAAGGCGAACTCAAAATAGAAAGTTTATATTAATGAGTTTAGAGATGCGAACTTCATGGGTGAGAACTTGATTGGGTGCAAAACAGGTAATGTTCTTTTGAGTTGTAGGGTATGTGTACATCTTAAAATCCATTTGTCTTTCCTATCCTTTGGTTCTTTGGTCATCTTCAGCAGAATCAATCAATGATAATATTCCTTTTTTAAAAAATATTTTTCCTACCTTTTTTGTACAGATGATCTACCTTTGCGTGGCTTTATTGGTCATTTAGAAGAAAGTGGATTCCTGCCTCACAGTCACAAAGTTTTCTTGTGGGCTCACTTGAACTTTAACATTGAATTCAATGGAGATCAGGTATTTGGAAAAAACAATTGTTTATGGAGCTGTTAAATGAGTAGCAGAAATTATTTATATAGTTAGTGAGCTCAGTTTTGCAAGATACAGAGCTCTGTATAAGTGATCTTTAACCTTAATTTATTGTCAGTTCTTTGCTGCATTTCTTTTGTTAAATTTCATTTGAAGGAAACTTTGATACTTAACACTGGTCATGATTCCTTGAGACACTTACTTCAATCTCAAAATTAGAGAATCAAATTGTCATAAACAACACAGACAAAATTATGAACACAGTACACCCATGATCAACATTGGAAACATCTGCCCATCTTTTTTCAATTTCGAGATCAAAAGCTGATGCATCCATCCTGAACTTTCTTTGAAAACTTGCAAGGAAAACAAAGGCCATCACCTGTTTGACACCAGTGCACATCACGAGTGTCCAAGTTATGAAGCTACGCAGAACGGGATCCGTAATATTTGTATTTATTTTTTTTTTCAGATTATTTCCGCTAATGTTAGTACTGCCAATCATCAGCCAGTATCCCTTGACGATGTGCAGTTGCCATTAAAAGTGCAGTTCACATACAGCGTGATGTGGAGTTCTACTAAGTAAGTGTAACAGAGTCCCATACAGATTAAATCACCTGGTTATAGTTCAGGTGGCCTCATGGTTAGTGACTCCAGATACGGTCCAGGTTCGAGCCATGGCCGGGGGACATTGAGTTGTGTTCTTGTGCAAGGCACTCCACTCTCACAGTGGCTCTCTCCACCCAATACAACATTATAGCTGGTGATTCACAACATAATTACGAGCCTGAAGGGTGGCTGGTCTTATTGAGAGCACTGGGTGAAGTGTTGTAATGCACAAGGGTTTCATTAAGGACCGGTTCAATGTGAGGACAATTTTGCCCAACTGGTTTGACCATTTAGAGGAAATTTTTTCTTACAAAGAAAGTTAGTTCAAAAAGTTTTGCCCACCTGTGAAGATCAGTTGCTCTCCTGTTGAAAACGTTATTGAAACTTTGGGTAATGCACTTATTGCATTGGACTCCAGACTTAAATCTGTCCAAGCTCACGCCCTAGCCAGGGTTACTGTGTTGTGTTCTGTAGCAAGAACACTTTACTCCAACAGTGCCTCTTAAAGGAACAGGCCAAAATGCTGTTAAGGAGTAAAACGTCTTGACCTGTCTTCCTTTTATTTTCTTACAATTTTATCACACATTTTTTATGGGGATGAGTGATTGAAATTAATTGTCCGTCATCTAATTAAATCATTCCTTTCCTGTCTTACAAAGTACTCCATACTCAGAACGACTGAAAACAAAAGGAGCTGGAAACTTTTTTCCAAAGAGTTTGGAGGTAAGAGAATTATTGCAAACTTTTCAGAACAATTCTTTGGCAGCTAATGTATCACTGTACAATGTTGCTGACATGATCCTATACAATGACGTAATATGAACTGGCATGTATAGGGCGAGATGTGTAAGGTGAACCAGTCTGGATAAAGTGGTCTGGCCCAGTTTACATCAACAGTTTATATAGCATGTCCCATTCGTAGAGGTTTCATTACATGCCGGGCACCAAGCAAATTGACCGGCTGTGAGGATGATTTTGCCCACCTGGTTTGACCATCTAAAGTAAAGTTTTTCTTGTAAACAAATTCAGTTCAAAAAGCTTGCCCGCCTGTGAGAAGCAGTTGCCCTCTTGATGAAAACGTTAAGGAAACCCCTGGCCTTTCAGAACATTCCATTAAAGTAGTAATTTTTTACAATAAAATCAAGTGCCTACTGAGTTTTGTCAGGTTGCTTTTGTGTGTTGTAATATTTGACTCTCTGCATTTTCCACAAAACAGGTGTGACTATGTCTATGCACCATGTTCTTGAGCCAAGCATTTCCTTACTGGCCCTCCCACTCAGTTTTATAAAGTATCAACCTTTAAATGCCAAGAATAATGGACATCTATGTTCCTCTTTAAAATTTTCTTCACATTGTTAAGGAGAGAACTCAAAAGTTAGAATAAAGAAAACCATCAACTAGCTAGCTAGGAAAAACTGTCTTGATGCATCGCCATATTCTCCAAACTGGCATTTGAAGATATGAGTGGTAATCAGGAACGAGAATTAATATTTTTTTAATCTTTTTTCCTCTCCAGATCCACTGGTTATCAATTATTAACTCTGTGGTGTTGGTGTTCCTGTTGATAGGATTTGTGGTGATCATCCTGGTAATTCAACATACAGTGTACTTTGATTTTATTAGTTAGCGAATGAAGATGAGACTGAGAGTTTTGATAAAATACAGTTAACACGGTATTCACCCTCAGGAGCACTGCTTTAAAGACGTTTTCATCTAAAGAGAGTTCAGTTACAAGAAACAAGTCAACCTTAGTGAGCTTTTGGGATTTTTCAAGAACACTTGAGAGATGTGCCAGAAGCATTTGGCTGTGTTATTAGCTTGTCTATGGACTTGTCTTACATGCCTGAACAACATAGTCGGACACGTTTATGTTTTCACGTTGATAAATTTATTAGTCTCACAGGGGCTCTTGTCTTGTCTTTGAATTTGTGCGAGTAACTAGTGATGATCTGGCATCCCATCCTGAGGGAGTGTAGTAATATTCCTAGTTGCTTCCTAAAGTTCTGGCAGAGTTTCTAGCTTCTTTGATTTCTAGGAATAAAAGATGTAATGGTTTTAATGATATGTATGATATATAAATAATTACTTTGTTTTCCTTTCCACAGATGCGAGTGCTCAAGAGTGACTTTGCGAAGTATAATGTATCTGATGACGAAGAAATGGATGATATTGGTAAGTAATAAACCAGATCACAAGTATTTTGAAAGTCTTTTGAATTAACATCATTGCCAAGGTAAAGATTTTTCTTTCGCACAGTTGCTACTTTTTTATATATGTTTAAATTGTATTACTTGCCTTCCAAGAATTTGGTGTGAAGTATTGGCATTGTAATTTGCAAGCATATCAGGAATTTTTCTTTCTGATGAATTGAAATTGATTCTTTATTTGTCCAGAACTCTCTTCATTGTGTCTGATGGTTGGTCTAGATAATTATTTTGTTCTTTGTTCCCATCACTTGTCCTCTTGGCAGTGTGTTGATATTGTAAGGAGAAACTAGATGTTGACAATAAGTACGTGTTTAATTTGATCCTTGGCTTTTCTCTGTGGTCTTGGATTGTTGTACGACACGGAGAGCAAATGGCACTTGTCAATTTTCTTTTCACCAGTTAAGGTTTCACCTTATAACTGGGCAAGTTACAACAGTTGCCAACATTATCATTATAGTTTAGATAAGGTATTAAAAATGTGGTTTGTGTTATGGCAAAAGCTGGAACAAACAGACAGACAGACAGACAGATCAATAGACCAACAGACCGACAGCTGACAGGCAGACAAGCAGACAGACAGACCAATAGACTGACTGACAGACAGACCCACCAACAGACAGACAGACTGACAGACCAACGTACCAACTGACAGACAGAGAGAAAGACTGACAGACAGACCAACTAGGAATAAGTGTGCTGTCGTGTCTAAGAGCCCTTACTGACAACAGTAACACAAGGGAAGCCCCTTTTACTAAATTCAGATCAAGATGAAGTTGGTTGGAAGATCATTCATGCAGATGTCTTCAGGTTTCCACCATACAAGAGCTGGCTTTGTGCCATCCTAGGTGAGGAATGATTTGGTCTTGGTTCTCTATCTTATATATCATTGTGATATTTCCCAGTGTCCTAAACAGGGTTGTATGTCCCACAAATCTCTCAGATTCAAAGAAAAATACCTGAAGTATGGAGGTTCAGGTTACTTTTAGCCCAGTTTTGGAATTTGCATTTTTATTGTTGAATTGGCAGCACCTTCTTTGGTATGCCATTGTCAGGACATGCGAGAATAATATAAGAATGAGGTAGAGAACACATTTTGAATTTGTACTTCCAGTTACCTTCATAGGGCCTTCAATCCTCGTTGTTGCTCTTCAGTTAGTAGAAAAGGAGGCTATTGGTACAAGATGTTTAGGAAATCAGATAATTCAAAGTGTTAACACTAAGGTCCAAAAACTTGTACTCATGCTCAATTACATACACATTCTAACAATCTGCACAAGTGTTATATGGTCACTTTGTCCCTCTGGGTGCTTTTTGTACCTGTCTAGGAGCTGGCTCTCAATTCCTCATGCTGTGTGTGTTCATCCTGATGATGGCCTTCATGGGCATGTTTAATGTACATAGGTAGGGCCCTGTAGTTAGGATACTGTTTTATAACCAGGTTCATCTGTTGTGTTACAGGCGTGGGTTCTCAGTTTCTTGCTCTTTGCTTTGGTATCATACTTTTGGCTTTGATGGGTTTGTTTAATGTTCACAGGTAGGAAGAATTGCTTTAGAGATGAAAACAACGAGAACGCTTTCTTGTTCAAAAGGAATGGACCATATATTTGAGGGGAGATGGGCAATTTTCATTAAAAAAAAAAAAATTCCTGCACAGCAAAAACTGCTGGAAAAAACTGAGCAAGTGCTATCTACTTTCCAGGTCCTGTGTTTGACTTATAAAAAAATTATTGCACCAACTATTGCCCACCTAAAAGACTCTTGCACAACCCTTGGTGAGCAAAATTTTTGATGCCCTAGAAAATTGCCCACCCCTCTCCCCCTTGAAGAAAATAATGGTCTGTCCCTCACTCTCCCACTTCTAAGACCCCTCAGAGTGCAAAGAAAACCAATTTTCCAGCTAGTCCTTTGGAAAAGCTCTAACTATGATATACTAGCCAAGAAACTTTAGTTGCCCTTTGGGCAAGTTAGGGATAGAATCACTAGCCCGACTGGAAATCCACTTGACTGGAAATCTGCCTGCCCCAGGCTATTGGAGGAAACTTTCTTTACACACTGCCCTTTCTCTAAGGCTGTATCGCTAATACCTCCAACTTATAAGCCCTCAATTGTAGTCTTCCTGTCATGTCCCTAATATGTTTCTCCACTTTTACATATCCCCTAACATATCTTCTTATCTCCCACACTAAGCCCCCAATTATACACCCCTGTGAAAGTGCCCCTTACTAGCCTCCCACCTTCACCATCAAAGCCCCCACTTCTTAGTCCACCCCTTCCTTTGCTCTCTCATCTAAGTCACCAACTGCACCGTCCTCTACCCGTCCCTACCCTTCCCCCCCTCCCCGCCCCCCCTGCTGCTAGTTATAGACCCATGTTATAATAAAAGATTATGATATAGTTCTGGTTATATTTCCTCCTACCTTTGCCCTCCTTAAAAACCTCCCCTGACATAGGTAGAATTAATACACATTTTCTAATATGTAGAAAATAATAATAATCTGTTATGCTATTTTCCCAGGCATGGGTCAATGAACACAGCTGCTGTTTTGTTGTATGCCCTGACCTGCTGTAAGTGACTGTTAGTTTGCTTGTTTAGTTAATGCATGTCTGCCGAGCTTAATGTGCAATAACAGTCGCAGGCTTTCTACACTCAGCCTGTTGTATTTGGGCTTGTAAGCTCAAAGCCCTGGAGGAAGGGAGAGGGGGAACTGTATTGGGCCCTTGGGCATGACGTTTCTCTTATCTGTAGTGTCTTTCTTCACTCAGGACAGAGAGGTAGAACCTTTTGATGGGTTAGAAGCAGAGTTACAATCACTCTTAATGCTACACACCCCTAAACTGGAGATAAGCACTGTTGTTATGGGTGACTAGACAGACTTTCTGTTCACCATAACCTAGTATGTACCTTAATTTGTGGTGTTTTTGTTTTGTAACAGGTATCTCAGGATATGTGTCCAGTAACTTCTACAGAAAAATTGGTGGAACCAACTGGGTTTGGAATGTTGTCTTGACAACCAGTATGTTTTCTGGTAGGTGCTGCAAACTATTAAGACAAGCTTGTAGAGCGAAGGATTCATTTACTACAGTGTTGAAAAATCAGGAATGAATTATTACAGTCTGGATAATCAGCTCATTTGAAAATATGGGGTTTCTTGACCCAGGAGAATAAGAAAAAGAATTGATTTATATTGAAGTTTGCCTAGTAAGTAATTCTTTTATTGTGCTGTACCAGAAAATATCCATACTCCCTCCATACTGGCACAGAAGGGATTGGAATTTCCTGTGGGATGGGGGTTCTCTAAGACCGAAAAATTTAAGTGTATCAAGTTTAATTGGAATTTCCAGAGGGGTGGGGAAGTCTTGGAAAAAATCCCTTCTGAGGGGGAGGTATGGATATTCTCTGGAAGTATACATTGCCAAGAGTTTAACTCCAAGATCTCATTGCAAAAATGGAACAAATTGTGGAAAAATAAAATACCTGAGCAATGTCTACAACCCTCTGATCTCATGATGGGTGATGCTACCCTTTCATTGCATACAGTAGCTACTGATGAAATCTTTGGAATAAGTGGCTTTTGTTTTGTTTTTCTTATGAGGCCTATCAGAGTCACCCTTATAATTCTGAAGATGAACTAGATGTTCTAAATAGGCCATGTTTTCTCTAGATACTAATTCATTGTGTTTTTTGTTTTCTTTCAGTTCCATTCTTTGTAATCTGGAGTATTATCAACTCAATAGCATGGTATTACCAATCCACTCAGGCTTTGCCGTACACCACCATTATTCTACTGATGCTCATCTGGTTGATCGGTTAGTCGCTATTTTAAAGACACTTACAGCTAATGCATAATGTTCAGCATTACAGTCTAGCTCAGCACACTTAGTTTTAGAGTATGAATGAGTTTATGCATACCCTAAAATGTATCATTTCTTATATTTTCTGTTTCAGTGGGTTTTCCTCTAACCATTCTTGGTGGAATTTTTGGCAAAAACTGGGCAGGTAGCTTCAATGCGCCATGCAGAACAAAGAACATTCCAAGGGAAATCCCTCCGATACCATGGTAAACAGAACTAAGTTTGCAGTTAAGACGTGAACTACTAATGTTCAAAGCAATTTACAGCATGTGTGAAGCTTCCAGTGGAACGCAACAGATACTGTACCAATGTGATAGTCATTTATTACTTCCATACCAAATATGAACCTTTTCCAAAATTCCAGGCTTAATGTGGTCCCATAAAAGTGGGTGTGTGAATTGTAAATTCTGTGGCAGATACAGGATTTTAGAGAAGGGGGTTCGAAATACGGACCACCAAAGGCAGTGAGTGCCTTGTGGGGGTTCCGCGGCATCCTCCAGGCTCAGAAAATTTTTAAAATTGAGGTCCTTAAAAATGGGATTTACAGTATTCTTAGGTCACGTTTGACCAAACCCCCAAACCTTCCTAGATCCGCTCGACAAATTTCGGGCTCTAGGTTCTTTTTCTGCTAGTTTCTTATTTGCAGGATTTTACATCATTTTTTGTATTTATCTTTCATAAATGCCACATCTCTAAATGTAGTTGTAAATGAGCCCTGTACGCATTTTATGCGAGGAAGAAATCTGCTTTAAGAATATAATGGCAAGATTTATGGCTGACAAAAGTATTGAATAAAAATCCTTGGTTAATTTACATTGTAATAAATATATCCATTTGAATAAACTGCAGGAGTGAAATAAAGTCTGGCTCCACTTTTCAAAGTTTGAAACAAGTGCTGGGAAGGTTGTACCCTTAATCAAGGAAAAGTATTATCAGAACAATTAGCACTTGCTAAAATACATGACTGTATGAATGGTGTGTCTGAGCCACAATTTTTTATTTTATTTTCAGGTATCGAAGCACCTCAGTGAGGATGGTTGTTGGTGGCTTTTTGCCATTCAGGTTTGTTGTTGATGTTTTCTTTTTATGGTCAAAATGGCTGATTGAAGCATTCCACTTAATTCTATTAAACAATAGGCATGTACACGAACAGCATTGAAGTGCTGGATATCGGGAAAATCCCAGGAGTTGTTGCCTTACTGCGCATTTTAATAACGACATGCAAACCCTGTCCAAAGTTCAAAACTAACAAAGGATTGCATTTTTGGCTGCTGTCAATGATAATTAAGATGACAACAGCAAACCTTTAGAAAACAAGAACTAGTAAAATGGGTCAAAATATACCAATCACAACCCACAGATTCCTAGAGGTCCACTAAGATAATTTCAAACTGCGAAAAAAACTGTTAATGGGGCAGAGATTGTGTGTTTTTGAAAGGCACAGACATACACCCTCTTTTTTTGAAGTAAACTTCTAATCAGATTCCTGGAGGTCCACCAAGATGATTGAAAACAGCGAAACAAGCTGTTAATGGGGCAGAGATTGTGTGTTTTTTGAAAGGCACAGTAATACACCCTCTAATCTAGAACTAATTTCTTGTAATACCTTTGCAGTGCGATATCAGTGGAGCTGTACTACATCTTTGCGACTCTGTGGGGACGGGAACAGTACACGTTGTATGGAATCCTGTTTATAGTGTTTTTTATCCTGCTCAGTGTCACTGCATGCATCTCAATCGCCTTAACATATTTTCAACTTTCAAGTGAGGACTACCGTTGGTGGTGGCGTTCTCTGATGTGTGGAGGGTAAGGCTGCCTTGAAAACAAGACAATCTTATTTTTGTGATCAAACTTCACTCAGAGTAGAGTACAAGTCGAATAAGTAGTAGAGATGTACTGTTGCAGTATTTTTGCTACACTGTAAAATAATGATAGCTAGCAAAAATATGCAATGATATTTGTTTCAGAGAAAATATTTTCTTTTAGGGAAGCTGTTACCTGTTCAAAAGCCAAGTGTAGTCTGCTCAAAACACTTGGTTCTATCCAATTTTAATGATAATTTTTTGGGAAACTGATGAACTTGAGAGTGGAAAATGAAAATTTTGAAAAGGAGGGGATATTGTCAGAATTTCGGAAGTTTTGGCTACATCATGACATGTTTAGACAAACATTAATCTATTGTGTCAAAAAATATTTGGTGGAGAAAACAGGTTTACAGTGTGACTACTCTGACCAAGGCCTCGTAAGCAAATTCTTTGCAAATTGACCACTGGCATTTTAAAAGTTTTAAAATAGTCACTAATCAAAATGACCACATGGATAATTTTTTGGGAAATGATTGTTAACTTCATGATTTTTATTCATTAAATTTGTAGAAAATTTTGCCGGGCAGCCTTGGGTGGACTGGTCACACTGTAAAATGATTTTGTACAAGTCATGTATATCTCTCAGTTGTAACTTAATGAGACTTGGCTAGTTCTTCCTATCTTTGAATTTTTTTCCCTTATTTTTTTCAGTTCCACATCTGGGTTTGTGTTTGGTTATGCCATGTTTTACTACTACAAACGATCCAACATGTCCGGCATGCTTCAGTCAGTGCAGTTCTTTGGTTACACCCTGTTGACTTGTTATGTGTTTTTCCTTATGCTGAGCACTGTGGCCTTTGTGGCATCCCTTAAATTTATAAGATACATTTACGTTAACCTCAAGATGGACTAAGAAATTGAAAATGCACTCAATATACATTTGAGCAGTCAGACACAGGCAGAGAGGGAGTTTAGGAGATATGTAGCAAGATATTGGATAGCGTGTGCTTTATACAATGAAAATTTTCATTAAATGTTGTGCATGGTAATTTATTGTATACATGTTGCAAAGGAAAATAACAGATTTTAAAGTTCTTGCTTTTAATTTTCTGCTAATGTTGGTCAATGTATTAATTTCCCTGGGGGAGAATTTTGTATTTATGTTATATTCTGCAAAGAGGATTTTCATGGCTGAAGTCACTCCAGGGAAGCTGCACAAAATTATTGACATCAATTAACTTTGACAGATGATGGCTTAAATGGAGTTCAAAGCCAATCGACATGAGAAATGTAGATAGGTGATTTAAGCTTGGTCAGTTTTGGAGTTGTGGTGTAAAAATGGCCGAGGGGTGTTGGTCTCTGGGTTCAAGCACTCATGACTGGGTTCATTTGCATTGCATTCTTACCCCTGACATCCAAGTTTTGGACCCTCTTTAGTATCGCCAAACAAGATTCTGGTGAGGTATTGGGAAACCTGCAAAAAAAATTGTGAGGAAAGTGCACTAGAGTCATTTTTAAAGACAAGCAAATTTCCATAAGCTACAGAAATGTAAAGATGTTTTTCAGATTATTGTAGTGGTGTGAACTGTAGTTCCAAAGGGATGTATAATAATATCACTGTCTTATAAATATTTTTAAAATGTTCAAGAAGTTGATGTGTGCTGATTGGTCAATTTGAATTCATATATTTCAAATGCATTATCATGTAATAATTCACCTTAAAGTTTATCACAAATTATGCACACACTATTTTTTGAACATTTTGTATAGGGAATAGTAAAGTTACGCCTCATGCATTGTTGAACACTGTCACATGTATGAACCCTTGTGAATTATTATGATCACTTCTGGGACATGCTTCTCCATGCACTTGTCAGCATGCTTGTATAACGTTACATGCACCTGGGATTAACTATTTGCTTAATGTATTTTGCTCACCTCACTCTTTCTTGCAAAGATTGATGAGTCATGATTGAAAATTTTTGCGGGAATTGTTTTAGTTAAAATGTTCTTAAAATACGCAAAACTACTTTAAAATCGTATGATATTGTAAGTTGTATTTAGTAAACTTCAAGTATCCGTTAGTTGGGGTATCTTAATGGATTGAATTGCTCGGGGGTGGGGGAGGAGGTTGGTTGTGCCACTTGTCTCAAACTCTCTCACCAACTAGAAGATACAGAGCAAATCGGTGCCGATTTTGTTACTCGTTCCAGTCTAAATGCAACAATCTAGCATTCTTGTAAATCGTTTTGCTTAAAAGAGGAATTCATCAGTATTTGCAGGTGAAGCATTGACTTTTGATACTGTTAAAAACTAGTTACAACTTGTAAAATACACCTGAATCAGTGACACATTACCCGTCTCCCCCCAGGCCAATAAAAGAAATGTTAGTTGAAAAGATTCATCCTGATGTCTGGGGTGGACATGGGAGGGTTAAGAATCTAGTTTGATCAAATGCTCTCTTTGCATTTGGTCTTAAGTTCTTGTACATTGATGGTAGAATTTTGCACTGCAACAGATTTTTGTGGTTTTTGTGGGGAAGTTTAAAGAAACACAAGAGTGCAGTTAGAACACAAATAAACAAGTCAATAAAATATTCTTGTGAAGGCAAACATTTCAATGGTTGAGTTCTTACAAGGGTGTTATTAATTTATGAAGTTAATATGCAACTCCCTTGTGATTGCAACAAGAGTCACTGGCATAATAGAAATTACAAGTACATCAAGCAATTTATTCCAGAGACGGTTTATTAATTTTTTTAGAATATATATAATATATATCACAGCAAGGCAAATTTTACAATATTATAAATGCATGGGTTTAAACACTGCTTACAATGTACTGATATTATATATTTTAGCAATAGGCCATGTTGGATAGATCAATATTCTAACATGGATACAAGGCTTTCAGGTGTCTTTCATTCCCAAAAGAGACTTGGATACAAAGAAAACTCCACCTAATCGATAAGTTTGTCCTGAAAGCCTTGGAGCCATGTTAGAATATTGATATATCAAACATGGCCTATTGATAAACACTTACAGGTATTTGCAGTGTGTGTTTCCAATTCCTCTTAAACCAGACTTGAAAATTGTGAGCTGGCCATAACTTTTCAGTCAAGCCCTATTTGTTCAAAGAAGAATAAAGCTTTCCACTGGATAAAATTACTATCCAGTGCATGGCATATGTTTTGTCAACACTTGCCCATTAAATAGTGATTTCTCCAGAGGATACCATTATCCAGCCTCTGAAAAAACCAAGCACTGGAGCTTAAGTGTAAACAAGCAAAACATCTTTGCTTGTCATACAGCAAAAACCAAAGGCGACGCAGCATTTTCAACAATAAGCTTGACAACAAGTAGGCCCTACTTTCCCTTGAGTCAATTATTGTAAATCAAGGTAAAATGCATTTTTTGCTTTGCCCCCAATTTGTGCCATTTTCCGAATTGTTTTCACTCCTTATTTCCTCTCTTGAGGAAACGCTCAGAGTAAAAAAGCAGCCACTTGTGAATCTGCAAAATAACATATCGTGAATTATTGATGAAAAAGACCATGTCATAGTTGAGCCTGCCAAATTTTGCCATTTGTAACATATTACTATTACTTTCAATAAAATTTGACTCGAAGACAATAGTTTTCATCCATTTAACAATCAATCATATGTTAACTCAAGTCTTATATCAAGGGGTATTTTTATCATTTTTTATCCCGTTCTGTGGACTGGATATAACCAATGAGAACATAAAAATGTACAAATTATGTACTTTACATATTCAACAAAATCCGGCAATTTCACTGTACTTAACAATATTTCACTGTTTGTCGTATATTAGGAACCACTTAAATTCACTGCATGTAATTTAAAATCCTAAATATTCAATATACATGTGCAGCTTGATTTATAAGGACAGATTCCAGGTACTAAAATATTTTAAAACTTCACTGAGTTTAACGAGCAAACATAATTATACAAATTATACCAGGTTGCAAAAAAGGTTGACATAAACATTAAATTAAGCAATATTATCATAAAGCTTGTGGTTGTGGCCGATATATTAACTTGTGCTCTTATTCGCTAATTCATGCACATTAGTCTCCCGTAATGCCTATGGGCCGATTACTGGTCTGCAAAACCAAAGCAAAAAGCTTAAATTTGACCTCGAATGTTTGGTCTTCACAGGAAAATCTCAAATCTCGGCCTTGCTGTATAGGTCCCATGCAATTTGCGATTTTCCCATTAAGGCCTCACTCACAGTTAATAAGTAGTTATTAATGATTATCGGTTACTTATACCTGTCAAGTTATGTCTAATCCAACCAACCAATGAGTAAAGTACAAATAAATACACTGCATAACATTGTATTCTCTCTGGAGGCTAGTTTAACAGATTGCACCAAAGTTTAAAAGTCTGGATTTTGCAAACAAAGATTAAGTCCCATTGCATAGATGTGTGTAACATCTCAAATTTCTCGCATGCATTGGTCATTGTTTTCTCATTTTGCCTACTGACATGTCTGACTGAAATGGTCAACACATTACATGCCAGTAAACACAGAACACTTGGTTCAACCCATCAAAAATGCATTGTAACAAGATTTGGCCAAAATCTTCACCATAATCAAAACAACAGCCAACTTTTGCATTATAAAGATATATAATGCTGTCAGAAATTATTAACTATTATAATGTAATGAAATTAGATATATCATTAATTGTATGTGTTATTATTTCTATCTTTTTTCAACTTCTGAAACTTGAGTTTTCTTTTTGTGTCTTGCATGAGAGCTGGTTTTGGATGCATTTTGTCTTCTTTCCCAGAGATCAGGTCGATACGTCGTAAATTTCTCCCTAGTCACTTTCTGCACCATGAAGAGTGGAGCCTTTGGTGTGCTAGAGAGAAAGAACAAACCCGGGTGTTAACTAAGATACAAGAAGGTCATTGTTAGGTAAAGGTGAAGTCTCCATATCAGCCAAGTGGCCCATCAGGCTGGAACTTATCCCGGTCTCTGAAGTATAAAGCGACTAGTAGTATATCTACTCCCCGGCATGAATTCGTCGGTACCCATTTATACACCCTGGTAGAGAGAGGCACTGCAAGAGTAGTGTCTTGCCCAAGAACACAACACAATGACACCAGCCAGGGCTTGAATCCAGAATGCTGGATTCAGAGTCAAAGCACTAACCATAAGGCCATTGTGCCTCATGGGAGAAGAAGGCCATAAGCTAGGACAATATTTGGGTATCCTGTGCATAAACACTCAGGGAAGATACTGGGATCTACCTACTCACAGAATACCCAGTTTAATTCAGAGCCTTGCCAAAGACTGCCTGACAGAGGGTATGTAAAACTTGTTGATGAAAATAGGTCTGTGATATTTTAGGGGAAATTTTGTCTCTTGTGATTATTGTCATCCAGTAGGAATCTAGCAGCACCCTGTAGCCTTCATGGGCATGACAGATTTCAGAAACGTCTTGGGTTGTTTAAAAAGGGGATAACACTATCCACTGGATAAATCACTATCCAACAGATAGCCTGGTTTGTTTTGTTAACACTTATCTACCATCCTTGGAGACCCAGGGGCAGTTAGCTGGGACAAGAGAAAATAAATCGGGCAAAGAAATGAAACCTACGACGCTTCATTTCTTTTGCCCGATTTATTTCCTCTCGCCCCAACTAACTGCCCCTGGGTCTCCGAGGATGCTTATCCACCGGATAGTGATTATCTACTTAGTGGATAGCGTTGTCCAACCTTCGAACAACTATGGCCAGATTTTTTTTTGGCTAATCATGCACTTTAAAGACCTTGTAGCCAAAATAAAATTTGACCTCTCTCTTAAAGTGTCTCTCGTAAGCTGTTGCCACAGGTTTTACTTTTTTGTGCTAAAGTAATAACCATTCGGGAACACTACAAATATCTTGAAAGAATGAAATCACTAGACTAAGTCGTAGGGAATTGTTTGGTTCAAATGTCAAATTTATTCTCTTGGCCAGGGAAGAAGCAAGCAAGAGAAGAGAGTCGTCCATTTGAAGTACAGATGGGCATTTGTTCTTCTGTCTGTGGCTGGAGAAATTCATCACATTTAACATTAATGACAACTTACCCATTACTGCCATCTCTTTGACTTTCATTGACCTTTGAATTGAAATATTGAAAAAATGTTACCACTGTACATGGATATACCACTGTATATGACAAATGATATTTATACTAAATAACACAATATATATAAAATAATTATTATAACTCAAAACGTTTTCAAACCGGTCAGTGTAAAATGAAGATTGCAGACTGCAGACTACAGACTTTTTAACTAAATCCTATTACCATTTTAATCATTGAGAGTTAACTGAAAACAGGCTAACTGGAGCATTATTTAGGCTAACCTGAGTGATATTCAGGATAACTGGAGTGACATTTAGGCTAACCGGAGTGATATTCGGTTTGATCTAATCAAAGCGATATTCAGTCTAACCAGAGTGCAGACTTTCACTGTAATAAGCCTGAATAACCCTGTGTGACGGTAAATACTTTAACGGAAATATTACAATATACACTCAAAAAAGTCTGCAGTCTGTATTTTACCCTTAGGCTGTATTTTACCGCCAGTCTGCAGTCTGCAGTCTGCAGTCCGCAGTCTGCACTTTACACTGACCCTTCAAGAAGCACCCACCCCTACCGCAGCCCCCAACAAAGTATAACCTGCCCATTTTTTCCTTGGTAACCCCTAACTTTCTATTCTAAAATCTACTTTCATTGTGTAGTTCCAGAAAATATCCATACGTCCCCCACAGAAGGGATTTTCTCTAAGACCCCACCACCCCTCGGGAAATTCCAATAAAGCCTTACACACTTCTTTATATTTTTTGGTTTTACAGAACCCCCACCCCCCAGGAAATTCCAATTCCTTCTGTGGGGGAAGTGTGGATATTTTCTGGACGTGCACATTACAAAATTCTGCAGTTTGAAACCAAACCTGTCACATGAAAAATTGTTTACTTACAGTTTGTGTTTTTTTCTCCCATACAATCTCCTCTTGACAAGGCTCTTTCACACCACCAGTCAGTTTCAAGGGCTTTGCTATAAATTTGGCCTCTTGTAGTGCCTGTGGAAAACCAGTGGATATTTTACCAAGGAATTCCTTTAAACTAGCCACCAGGGAGGCTAAATCAAATTCTTGACAAGAGTTTTCCGGTATTTGTTTGTTTAATTCCATTAACAAGGCAGAAGTGTACGCTGCAAGTGTTGACATTTTGTCCTGTCCACTTGAGAAAGTGCCAAAAGAACCAACCGCTTTACTTTGGTATTCTTCTGACATCAGGGGATCTGATGAAGCCACACTTGAAGACATATAATCTCTTGAATGTCCATTCATTTTGTTGTTATGAGTTTCTTCGGTGTGAGATTTTTGTCGCTTTAATCTTTCCATAGCCTGCTCGAGTTTGGAACGATAGCTTCCCTCCAGCTCCTTTATTTTGTCTTCGAGTTGTTTGACTTTAGCTTGTAAGTTTTCCTTTTCGCTAGCCAGCTCTTCATTAGTCCTGGATGAAATCTCCAGTTTTTCTTGCAGATTTACAATTTGAATTTGCAGTGCATAAGAGGATTTCTGATCTTTCCGCTGTAAGCTGCGAGCCTTGATCTGATAGTCCTCCAGGGATCTTCTTTCTTCCACGAGTTGATTGACTCGGTTCTCTCGACGTTGAAGTTCTTTATTCGCGCTGCGTAATTGATGCTCAAGCTTAATCAACATGTCTTGAGACTCTTTTCCCTGGCCTTCAAGCTTAGCTTTTTCTCCTTTGATCCTCTTCAAATCCGTCTCAAGTGCCTGAATAGTGGCCACGCTTGCATCCAAGCGCGCCTTTACGAGAGCAAATTCACCTGGTTTTGTTGCGGGTGAAACCGAGTTCACTTCGAGTCGTTGTTTCTCGTGTTCTAACTCTCTAATCTTCTTCTCGCTGCTTTGTAGCTTTCCTTCCAACTTTGAAATGTGGCTTCTTAAGATATCCATGCATTCTTTATCATTTCGTCGGAGGTCTTCCTCTAATTCCAACTTTAATTGGAGGGTTTTTACCTCCTCCTCAAGCCTGGCTTTGTCTTTTTCAATCACCGCTTCCTGTCTTCTCAAACGAAGAATCAATTCCTCCTGCCAAGCATCGCTTCCACTAGAGGCATCACTAAGCTCAGTTAAACTAACATCGGCCTTTTCTGCGCCGACATATCCACTCCCAAATCCTTTTGAAACTGAGCAATCAACTGCGTGATTTGGTGATGTTATCAGTGACTTACAGCCTCCTTGGTTTTGAAAAACAGCGCTCCATTCGACCGAAAATGCCGCAGGATCTAACAAACTGTCGTCGACTTTCAGTTCATCAATTTTGTTAGGCAAACCGAAAGAGAACCCATTGTAACTAGCCGACCGCTTCATGGCGTTTCCCCGCAGTTTCGCTAGATCCGACATGACAGCGGCGGGACTTCGAGGAATGCGAACTCGAGAAGGACTCTATCTTTAGCTCCAAACAAGACGGAGGGCAGAGATGGGAAGGTGACATCCACAGGTTAAGTCAAATGAATGCTTTCGTGAGGCTCTTGTTTCCTGTGTTTCTAACGATCATACAATTGTACATTTTTGGACACGTTTAATTTAATTTAAGGTGATACGATACACATGACCTCCCATGAATGACGCTTTGTCAGGAAAAAGCTAGCTACATCGCGTTGCGTCACAGAGTGCCACGAAAAAGTTCCTGGCGCTGCGCCAGAACTGAACTAGAAATCTTAAAGACTGTCATTTGTTATCCATCTCGTAATTTGTTCCTTTTTGTATATTTAAGTTTTGGCAGTTTTTTACCTAAAAGAATTTAACCTTGGAATCACTATAGATTTGAACTTTATGTGAAAAATATAACTGTTCTCTTGGGAATTATTCTCAAAATCAAAGCAACTCACAATAAACTGGTAAAACAATGCACAACATTTTACACCTCTTATTAGTTTCATTTTCTGGTGAACTGCTCAAAATGTGTTGCTCCAAAAAATATCCACAGCTTCCTCCACAGGGCTTGTTTGGTTTGAACCACCCCACCCCACCCCTCCAGAAATTCCAGTTTGGCTTCATAGATCTTCATACATGTACCATTCTTGGCTTCTTGGGCCCTCACCTCCTTGGAATTTCTAATGTCTTTCCGTGAGATGGGCATGGCTATTTTCTAAACCACAATGGAAAACAGTTTTTGGCAAAAATCATCATCGTCATCATGAACTCAAATTTTTTTCATCAAAAGGTCAAGTGACCCTGATATTATCAAAATTCAAAGTTTAAACACTAAGGTCATGTCCTATTGCGATCAATTGTTTCAACTGCAACTGGTTTGGGTTCATACAGTTGACCTTTCTCAATAGAAATACTTTTCCAACCGTTTTTGGTTGAAATGCAGTAACTCTTGGGAATAGTCCGTACATGAACTACAATCACGCTACATAATCATGCAAAAAGCTTTTACAACTGTTTCACCTGGTTTGAGGTCAGTTGAAAATGTTGATCAACCAAACCAACCAAAAACGGTTTTTCTCCAATAGAACGCAAAAAATCCCAACTAAGCCAACCAACCAAAAATGGTTGATCCCAATAGAAAATGATCTAATTCACTAACTCTGTGATGCTGTTCTTTTACGACACATTTTATGCAAATTTCAAGTCTCTCTTGACTACATTCCTCAGGAGAGATGACATTTGAAAGATGAGATGGTCCAGCTAAGCAAGTTCATCAAATAGTGCTCAAGTGAACTCTTGTTTGCATTTTTTGCAAAACAAGATGAGTGAAACTTAAGGAAACAAGAACATTATTACTATTCTGTATTTTAGATATTCAATTAAGGTATATTTTAGACTTTTATTTTTTAGAGGACCCCCCCTGAAAACCACCTCTAGGTGATTGGAGGCCTCCTCACGAAATATAAATTCATTATTATTTATTATTATTAATATTATCCTGGATCAGCAAAACAAATTTAAAAAGGCACTAGTGCAAGGAGCAAGAGGGTTCATGCTACAGAAACTGGGGTAAGCTCCAGCCTAATGGGCCACTTGGCTCATATGCAGACTTTATGTTACCCTTACAGACTATGTTTGCAATCCTCCCAACTACATATCTTGAACCTCAATTTATTCTTTTCACTGTAAATTTTTCATATGCATCCAAGATTTGAAAGAGTACAATAACAGATAGATTAAATGCTTATTTGTTAAACAATCTTTCATCTGAAATCTAAGTGAATGTCATCCAGTCATCATAGTCCATTTGGTTATCGAATAATTGGCATGAACACTTGTTTTGCACAGGAAAGAAAATACTGAAATTTATCTTTGTCTGGGTCAAAGTCATCATCATTCAGCTGAGTGGCATCAAACCCAGGGCTTTCAGAAGCATCAACATTTTCTGGACAACTTGTACTTAGCTGCACAATGGTCGTATGACTTCCAATCTTTGTCTTGGACTTGATTGCAACACACCACACTGCAGGATTAGATGAGGCGCAGATGCTCTTTACGGCTGCCCCAGAAGTTGATCCAAATGCTGGCAGTGACAAGGAGAACATGGGTTGTTGACTATCAGCATGTGACTGGTAGTATGTGAGAGCACTCTGTGTCAAGGCTCGTAGGTTTTCGTGGCCTAGTCGAGTAACAGATTTGGCTGTAACAACCAGTTCAAGCGTCTGGTGAAGTTTCTTGATGTTTGAGACTCTGGTATGAATTGGGACATTGCTGTTGAGATAGCTCGCCAGTTGCCCCATGGTTGCTAGCTCCTGGTAAATGAAGAACTGGGTGTAATCTCGGGCAAGTTTTTCACAGCCAATTTCTATTAAGCACTTGATAGCTAGATCAGGAGAAAGAAACTGCTTGGCTCTGTTTTGCAGTTTCTCCTGCTGTTCTTTTGTTTCAAACTGCAGCAGATCCCGGATAAACACTGCCAGAGATGTCATGTTTGAGCTGTGGACAACTGGTTGACATCGGCCATTGAATAACGCTACATTGCACATTTGCAATGTAGAAATGAGATCATCTTCATTGACACAATCCTTCAATAAAAGCCAAAGTCTCTCAGTGAAGTCCAAGTCCTTTCGAGCAAACTCTTGAAAAGTTAAGTGAGCCATTGACGCCTCAGCAAAGGTGCGTTCTTCTGCTCCTTCTTCTTCATCTTCTTGGACTGTTGGTGAAAACACATTGCTGGAATTTAACTTGGCAAAGAATGCATCCATTTGTGAAGAGACTGGATTTGCAGCAGCAGTTGTAGGAATAGGCCAAGGAAGATCTTCATTCTCTAAGACCTTGGAAAATTGATCAACTTGTACCAATTCCAGGAACAATGAGTGAGTGGCCAGGTGAACACTACCAGGAATGCTCTTAATGTGGAGAACGCCATCGCATGAATGTGGATGAGGTTGAAGTAGAGAGTTGACCCCACTCCACGTCAACTCTACAGCAATTGTACTATTTTTGCATTCTTGACTGTTAGAACTTGAAGCACCCATCACTTCATGGAGGGCATAACCATGGGTCTCGACAAAGGCAGTGGACGAACTAGAAGACAGATGATGCCGTAAGAAGACACTCAACTCTGGTAGATCTTCCTTAGCCAGTATCGGCACATTCCTGCTGGTGTAGATCACATGTCTCATAGAATTCCTTCTAACAATTTCAATGTCCTTGGTTTTGGAGTGAACACAATTTTCTTCAGGGACCATGCCAAGATAGGTAATCCCCTGGGGATTTTTCCCATCAACGTACACCCATATCTCCAAAGGCTGCAATTCACCTCTCAGTGCATTGGCATAAATAGATTGAAAGTATCTTGCACTTTCTAGTGGACACGGGAAAACATTTTCCTGTGACAACAACCATTCACTGAGACAACCTTTTGTATTGCAGCCATCTTCTTTGCTAACGCCGGCATACGATTGCAAGGGCTCGCTATTTGTGAGATAAAACACCTCTTGAGAAAGCGGTGTGCCGACTGGGACTCTTTCACTCTTGAATCTTTTCAGGTTAGAGCTCGTTTGGTTTGCTGAATCCGGGGTATCTTCGCAGTCTTGTAAACTTTTGCCGACGATAAAAAACCCGCTTGAACTTTTACCGACAATTCTTCGCAACGGATGGTACGTTTTCGGCGGTATGGCCCAAATAATATACCCGTGTTGTGAATCTGATGTCAGAAACTTTGTTTCTGTAACGTTTCCTGAGCTGCTGTTAAGTAAATTCGTCAAAATGTTTGCGAGAGAACCGACATCTTCAGTAAAGTTCTCCATTTTGAACTTAAAAGAGGCGGGAAGCAGAGGCTTGGCTCCAGACCTCTAGCCCAGACTCGCGATTAAAAATTAACGCCTGGTAGAAAACTTTGATCTTTTGAATCGAAGCTAACGAAGCATTTGTTTTGAAAAAAGTAAACAATATGGCGATGATTATGCGTGTCTGTAAACAAGCTGTAAATATAGACGGCAACCCACAGCTTCAGCGAGTATTTCGAAGGCTTGCGACTTTGTTTAGACCATTTTCGCGGCACATTTATAGCAGTAGAAGTAGAATAAGCAGGTTGGTATAATTTTCGTGGAACAGATTCTACAATTGTATCATGTATCAATTTTAACAGACTCTTTAATACTGTCTTTTCCTATCATTTATATGCTGCCAGGCTTTCATGTAAGTCTTGTAAGGTTAAAAAATTCTGGAAGTACGTTTCCAATTTTTAATCATCTTGTACACGGAAGTATAAGCTCACCTATTAGAATTTAATGTTTCGGTCCGTCAGTGCAATGAAACCACTGACAGTTATTTATTGCCTATAAATTTTAAGTCTTAAAATGTACACGATGCTATCTTTCATAAGTTGGAGTATAATTTGCCTAAACTGGTGAAAATTATGGGTAGAATAACGTAACTTGTATAGCCAAACTGTAAGCAAAGTTAATATCTTTGAGAGATTGACAAGTTGCAATATTATTTTGTTATTTATTGTAGTGGACCAGATCGAGATATGATATACCGAGTCCTCACAAATGAAGATGGCAATGTGCCTGTTGCCAGATTTATTGGCGTAAGTAACTTGTCTAATATTTGTGCAGTTCCAGAGCTTATTGTACCCCTCCTACAGAAGTTTTTTTGGTTTGAAATCTTCCCAACACCACTCCTCCGGAAATTGCAGTTTTGGTCAGGGGTAATTTTTTGGACAAAATTATAGACTTATTACATACTAATGGCTATGATTTTTTTTGTTTCAACTTGTCAAGCTATTATGAATTGGAGAAATCTTGATCTCACTTTAAGATAAGCAGGTAATACCTGCAAACAGACTTATTTCTAGAGTCCTATAGTTAATAAGCAACTAAAAATATGCAAATTACATAGCCAAGTTCAATACCATGGGATTAATTCATGAGAACATCACTGAACTTGAGGCTTACAGCTAACTATAAAATGGAATTAAAGCAAACATTTTTGCAAGTCTAGCTAAAGGCTGTTATTCACTAGCAATATATAGTCATAGTTGGAGTCATATTCAGAAGCGTAGAGTGATATGAGTTTCTCTAGTGAAACTCAAACTGACAGAGTCAGAAGTAGAATAATGACTCTGCTTATGACTCTATCACTTACGATCTAGTGAAAACTACATTGCCGGAAGCAGAAGCAGACAAATCAACCACTAACAATGCTGAATTCTAGGCCTTGTGATATTGGTCGGTTCAATCTGCTTCTTCCGACTCCGACAATATAGTTTTCATTAGATCATAAGCAATGGAGCTATAAACAGAATCAGAAGAAATGGAAACGTTCTGATTCTTCCAACTCTACTTCCTTTGAGCTTATGACCCCGCTTAAGACTCTGATTTTTGATTTTCATGTACGACTCCGACTCCATTGCTAGTGAAAACCAGCTTTAATTAAACATAGAGCAGAGGAACAGAGGGACACATGATTTTTGTGGAAAACAAGTTTAGCACTTTTTATGCTCTCAATCCAATGGTTTTAACACTTAACTTTGCGTTCAAAATTATAATAATTGCAGGCTCTTAGAGAAGCTGGTTTAAGAGTCAAAGATCCAAGACTGAAGGAAACAATGACAAACTTTCAGCAATATTTGCAGCAAGAAAATTTTGAAGGCTTTGTGGATGAAGGAACATTCAGAAGGTATTACAGTGCGACTACAGTCTAACCAAGGCCACCCAACATTGCCTTTGTACTGTGATGTACAGCTTGATTACATGGATGATTTGTTGTAAAACTATTGTTAACCTGCACAATTTTCATTCATTAATTCTGTGGAAAATTTTGTCAGGTGACCTTGTTGTAGTAATCACACTGTACTTTATTAATTAATAAATAAATTCAATAAATCAATAAAAAGTTATCAATAGCTACTGACACCCAATTGTGACAAATGCAGCGGCATTCATAATAGTGCAATAACCATTTGGAGGCTTGAACAGAAGGTCAGTGCACGTGTTCAAGTCTGGGTTCACGCCCTGGCCAGGGTCATTGTATAATACACTTAATTCTCACAGTACCTCTGTCTGGCCAGGTGAAAAAATAGGTGCTGTTGAATTTAATGCTGGGGGTAACCCTGCGATGGACCAGTATCCCATCTAGGGGGCAGTAATGAACATCACGTGTGGTGTTTAGTGACAGAAAGTTAAGTGCCACTGTTGGAGATAATCAAAAGCATTTTGTTTGGCTTAATTTTAGATCCATACAGAAAAACATTGTCCTGATAGAGAACGCTCTTCGTGGAGATCTTGTGATTCCAGAGTTTAGTCAACTGACAAAGCCTATTGAGGAAATATACAATAAATGTAAAGAAAACAAGGAAGGAAAGGTGATGTTACAATATGTAAAAATACTAAGTGTACACTGGAACCATGTTCATAGCGAGAATGTATAATTTTAAAAAGAACCTTTTCTGTCAGAGTAATTTGTGAGACGTCATTTAAATTGACCACAATGTTTTTTTTTTCAATTATTTTGGACTTTTTATGAGCAGGAAGATGGTCTGATTTGCAAGGAGTTTCACATGACCATGACTCATGGTAACATTTTTGCAGGTTGCTGATTACATTCCTCAGTTGGCAAAGTTCGACCCTGACCTGTGGGGCGTGGCTGTTTGTTCTGTAGATGGACAGAGGTACTTTGCACACATACTGATTCCATGCATTTTGTTGAATAAAAACAACTGATTATGTTTCTTCTTTCTTAGATTTGCTATTGGGGACTACAGAGATCATTTTTGTCTTCAGTCAGTGTCCAAGTGCCTGCACTATCCAATTGTTTTAGAGGATCTAACAGCAGAGGTGGTGAGTCACTAAATTTCAATTATGGTTTACTGTTAAATTATTCAATAAAATTAAAAGTCCCAAGGGGAGGGAGAGAAGGAGGGTTAGTTTTCTCAAGAAAAAGAAATTGTAACAAATAAAAGCAGGGACCACCACAGAGACCATTTTGATGGGGCTAAAAACTCTTGCCAATGCAAACAAGCACCAGGGGTCAGTGTTCCATTGTTTTGTTTCTTTCAAGTGGTAAAATTCATACATTATACATGTACATGTCATCTGGTCAGGAGCTGTAAAAAATTGACCCAAGCAGGAAAGTGGTAGGGTTATAGCCTAATACCAGCCCCATCTCCCCCAGTCCCTACAAAGAGCTGCAATTCAATTCTTCCAATTACAAAATAGCCCAACTTTTCAAAATCCTTATATTAAGTTTTCATTGAATTTATATATACAGTGGAATCACAATTTATCAAATCCTTGATTTTTCAAACCTCCCAATAACTCAAACCTAAAGTTGTTTCCTCCTTTTTTTGTTTCCCTTGGAGGTTCGCAAAATCAGCATTACATGGTACATTAAACCTACAGGTATCCCCACCTCCCAAACAAAAAAAAATACTGTTGTGTTTGAAGCACTTTTTTGCTTATGGGATGGTGCTTGATCAGGGTTCCAGACACTTTTTGAGTAAATTATAAACAAAGTGCAAAGATGTCTTTATAGCTTAGATTATGTTTTTTCTTCTTTAGGTGCATAAATACGTCGGACATGAACCCAGTGGGCAAGCATTTAATTATTTACACTTGAATAACAACGGTTAGTATTAAATTGTAATATACCGCACCAGTCAATTGTTAATTACCTGTTTGTTAATATGATTTTTCTTGATTTGTAGATCAGCCTCACAATCCAATGTTAAATTCTGGTGCCCTAGTTCTATGTGCACTTCAAAAGGTAGGTGATAAATATTTTGTTTAAATATTTGTGAAAGCTATCTGGAAATAATTATAATTATTATAATATATTTTTCATAATTATAATTTATTATAAATAATAATTATGATATATTTTTCTCTTATAATATTTATTTAATAATATTTACTCCATTAATTTATTTTAGATATAATTATGATATTTTGTCTTGCCAGTGTTTTAATTAACTGAATACATAAAAATGTGTTAAGATGCAAACATGTCTGATTAGTAATTTGGAAAAAAGTATAGGCTGTACATGTGCTATGTATGTTGAGCAATTCATGACAAATATACCATGCTGCATCTGCCATTTGATTAGTATCACGAACTTGTCTAGTTCTTCTGACCAGACAAACTTGCTGGTTTCCTTTCATGCTGTGGGCAAACTTTGTTGAAAATACATATTAAATTAAAGTCACATTTTTTTGCAGCCTGAGCTGCCCTTGGCTGACAGATGCGAATATGTAAGTACACAGCAAAATGATAGAATGATAAAATACCAGTTACCTTTGGGATTAAATCAAGTACTATCTTCACTAATTAAATAAAACTAATAATAATTGAACAATTCACTCTCAGTCCTTAAAATTATGAGCGTAACATAAATTGCCAAATGAATCTTAATAAATCCTGTCAAAAATGATTACTGAATGAATAAGAAAACAACTTTATTTTAAATACTAAATGAGATATCATTTAAAAATAACTTAAGATGTGGTATATCAAACATGAAAGATTGTGTTTGACCACATATCCAAACATTGAGAAGAGAGTTGAAAATAATGAGTTTGAGAAGTATTAATTGAATTGAATTATAATCTTCTCTAAGCTTGCTGGTAAGAAATAATAAATAAATATTCCCTGATCTCTATGAATTTTCAGGAGAAAATTAATATTTATATAGATAGCATATCATTTTCTTCAGTCTTTGTGGGAGATACAACATAATTTCAGCATCCTTGCCAACCAGGCCAGTGGACCAGTTCTAAAGACTAATATTTATTTGTAGTGGATCTGAGCTGCAGAGGATAACCTGACACTTCTCTGACTTGTAATTTTTTGTTTTGGAAAATTAACAGGTTCAGGGGAAGTTTAAGCAAGTAGCTGGGGGAGAATACATTGGATTCAGTAATGCAACGTAGGTGCTTTTTTGTCTAACTTAAAGATTGTGTTCATTGTCATTTTGTAATAATATATATTACTCAATTGTTAATTACCAAGTGTACATAGGAGTGTGAGCCACTTCTGTTGTTAACTATAGGGACCTTAAGATTGGAGTATGAGTACAAGATAGAGTACTAGACGGTACAATTAAATTCCAGTTTCAAACTAGTGATGTTTCCAGAGCCCTTGCTCTTCATGTTGGTTTTAGGTAGAGAGAGTAGCTCATAGGATGAGACGGGTAAGTAGCAAGACAATGTGACACCTGCAATCTAGAACTGAAAAGTCTTTAACTCACCCTCAATCTTGTACTCATACTCAGTCATACTACAAATTTTCTAGTATAATGTTTTAGCTCAACCTTGCCATCAATTCTTTCAGGTTTCTGTCTGAGCGCGAGACAGCTGACAGAAACTATGCTTTAGGATACTACATGAATGCTCACAAGGTGAAACAAATAATAAAATGTACATCTTGGTCTCTTTTCCCCTGGCATCCTTCCCAGCGAGTCTTTTGCTAGGCTGTGGTGGGTAGGAAGCTGTGAGTTTGTTGCACTCACACAAGTCACAAGGCCCACACTTCCTGTTTAACCACCCATCACCAACAAAATGCAATGGCACTTGCTGCAGCCCTAGGCAGGGTATTGTTGATGTTTGCTTTGTGTTTGTTCCCGGAAATATGCATACCCTTCATGTAAGATATTTTGGTTTGACCTTCACCCCCACCCTTCTGGAAATTCCAGTTTGGGCTCATACTACCCTTGGCAAATTTTTTGGCATATTGTAACTGAGTAAGATCAACAGTTGTTTTTCCCAAGAAGATTGAGAGTGTCCTATCTTATCAGAGTTAAACCAGCTTATTACATTACATTATTTAACTAATAAATTGTTTCATCTCTTATTCTCTTCAGGCATTCCCACCAAATACAAATCTTATGGATACTTTTGAACTTTATTTTCATGTGAGTGGGACAAGAATGAGCTTTAAAATATTCTCTTTGCCAGATTGGAAGATTTTTTGCTATTTATAATCAATGTATGATTGATTACAAAATGATGACTTCCTTTTCATTACAGACTTGCTCAACAGAAAGCAACTGTGATTCTGGAAGTGTCATGGCTGCAACTTTGGCCAATGGAGGAATTTGTCCACTTACTGGTCAAAAAGTAAGTTCTCTGACTCAAAACCACTAGCTAAAGCTAAATAAAATGTTACTCTCCTAGAATATTATATACACTTGAATACTTGAATAAACTTGAACAAATCAATGGCTGAAAATTTTAAAATCATCATGGCAAAGTAAACTTAAATACAGCCATGTGGCTAGCTTGGAAAAAAGTGGAGTATAATAATTATTATTTCTTATTATAATGTATTAATAGATATTATCTATTTACTGCTTCATCAGTGGTCGGTGAATGCACAAGAGAAGTGCACTAAAAATTTATGCATGATATTATCAACCTTATGTAGCGCATGTCAAAATAAGAGCTGATGATGATGATGATGATGAGTTAAGTCCCAAGGTTTAGAGAGTTGATTTGAAATAACTAAATCCTTTTCAAGAAGTGCATGCCTGTTTTCTTGTCACATGAATATTTACCATTTCAAGGTATGATATTATTCCCTTGGGAATTGAATTCTGTCAATTCAGGTGGGTTTGCCGACTAAGCCAGGTACAAGTCTGCAATCATGTGACTGGTGTGCCAGGGTTGTGTGTTATGATGGTCTAATCACCGCCACTGGGTCACCATGGCAACAGTATTGATAATATCTCAATAATTAAACCACATATAATTTTGTTTGGCTTATTTTTGTGTAGGTTTTTAGTTCTCGGACTGTACAGCACACATTGTCTCTGATGCACTCATGTGGAATGTATGATTACTCTGGACAGTTTGCTTTTCATGTAAGAAGGATTAACTGTACATATACCAAGACTGTAACATGTAATATTGTGTAAATTGTTTTTTTAGTATAGGGATAAATGTTTTCTAGTGATTTTATAGTTTTAAAGATATTTTCAGTGGTGAGAAAGTCAAAGTCAATAAATATTTACGAATTCTGTATTACATTGTGTGAGAAGCTGTGGTAATGTTGTTTTCTTTATTTAGTATGTTTATTATTGTGGAGTTCCAGAAAATATCCATACTCTTCACACAGAAGGAATTGGCAGGAATTTCCTGGGGGTGGGGGATTCTATAAGACCAAAAAATTTCAAGAAATTTATGAAGCCTGATTGGAATTTCCATGGGGTTGGAAACATATATGCATGGGGTGCACAAACATGTATGCATAATTTCTGGAACTAAACATTCACCATTTTTAACTGTACCGGTACGGGTGCTTGTAAAAGAAACAACAAAGGCCCATGTGGGTTGAACAACTTTAATTCCAGGGTAAAACTGTCAAAACTGAAATAACATAATGCCGTGAGTGGTAGAGAACAAAAAGGGGAAAGTAGAATGCGAGAAACGACAGAAAACTCGCGCCTTTCCGGGCTGCAAGGGCACCGCGTGGTTAAAAGTACTAAAACTAACTAAAGCGCATGCTGGGACGTAATGATGTAAGTAATGATGCAAACTCGAATCGTCAG